ACGTTTATTCCTCCCTCACATGCCCCAGCAGGCAACGTAGGTTGAGGGCTGGAGAGAACCTCTTACAAGAGGGGCCTTTTACAAAATTGAATGCCAACGTCTCCCATTCAGTTTGGGAGTCTGACAAATATTTTCCTAATTTTATAAAATGGACAAAGTTTATGTAAGGACTATGAACCACCACAATTTCAAACACTGAGGCATTGAATAGTTAGGTCACTGAATGTATTTCAGCTCTCAATATTACCAACAAAAATACCTACTTCATACAGGCCCTACAAAAAGTCCCAGAGCAGAGCTCTGCACTACAGGACACCACTGATCACCAAAGCCACCTTTGGGTGCTACCTCAAAAGCCAGTCTCACAATATAGCAAGATTTTATCAAGGCAACTTTCATTACAGTAAGACACAAATTTCAGCTGCTGTCTTTGACAGAATAAGAGCTATCTGGCAAAGCAGAGATTAATTCCAAACAAGTTTGTAACAAGTTCACATTCACAGCTGAGGGAAAAAAAAAAAAAAATCCTCTTTGCTTTTTAACTTCACATCTGCATTATGAAAACTTGTGGGCTATCAAGGAAGAGGAACCATAACCTTGACTCATTTCCTGCTACGACAAGTGGTGCAGCAACTTTGTCCGGGGCAGACTCAAATACAGTTCAACTAGTGTTAGGTTAGCCAGCTTTTAGAGCTTTTCATCTCTGATAGCTCAGCAAAGGAGAATTTTATGCCAGCACCCTTAAAAGACAGAAGCAGAGGGAACACAATTTCAGATGTTATATAGGCTAACAACAACAGGCAAGGAAGAACGTTGCTCACATTGATTTTTACCCGAGGATGTGGGTAATATAAACCACATATAAACCATTTCTGCAATCCCAGACTTTACAGAATTAAAATTTCAGCTACTGTTGAAGACTTTACCTAACAGAAATCTAAGAAATCCACATTTGCAGACATAATACCCTAAGTTTGTCAAAGTAAAGTTTATTGAAATTCATATTTTGAACTTACTCAAATGAATTAATTTATTTGAATAATAAACTTGTACACACAGCCCTATATTAAAGGCAAAATGAGATATTTTGAGAGAGGAGCAAGGGGATGGCTGTTTGGTAGAAATTTATCCTTTATAGGTCATTGTATACTCAAAAAATACAACATTTAAAGTAATTAGTACCATTATAAAGTAATATTCAATATCTATGTAAGATGCAAACATCCTCAAGACCAGCTGAAACTCAAGGTAATATAGAACAGATGACAAAAGAATACTCTAAGCAGAGCTAGGCCTAAATACAAGAGAAATAATGTATACGAAACTGTCTTTTGACAGATATGCAATTTTATTTTAGGCTTTAATTAGAAGCAATTTGAAACAATACAAAAAACCCCATAAGCTTTAAGTAACAATCATAAGACAACAAAGACTGAAAACCCTAAACATACTAGTTTGGTTTTAGTGTACTGACCATTGCCTAGTTTGGGAAAACAAACTACTGGTTTTCTACAGCTCTGTCCTTGGTACTTTACAATATTAAAATACTGTATTTCTGTTACTGCATGTACTGTACTGGATTTCTCTGTTTAAAAAAAAAGGCATGGGAAGAGATCTCACTTTATGCTGATTTACCAGCCTATGAAATCTAGCTGAAATCAGCAGTGCTACTTAGCTTTGAGATTTATTTGTAACAATTAATTGCTGAGCAGTCTCAAGACATGACAGGAGTTATTTATTATAGGAGGCCACTTTGTATGTGTTTTTGAAGTACAAACTACCTTATTAGTCATATTGTAACACATTCTTCATCTACAGTATAAAACAGCTAGGAAAATCTCAAATGCTTTCAGAGTTGCCAGAAATTTACCCCCTGACTTTCCCATGAGAGTTTCAGAAAACAAGCTTCCAAACAAGAATTCAAGTCCTTAGCCTGAGCTTAAGTTTTCTAAATTCCAGGCCACAGATCCTATCTTCAAGACAGTCTGGGTCATAAGCTATCCTGAGGTATAAACTATGCATAAATGTAATCCATATTTATTTGGATCTGAGAAAATGTCAACAGAACATATCTAATGCAGTGATGAACCACCACCCCAGTATTAATGTAAACGAGCTTTTTTTTTTTTCCCCCTCTTCTGTTTTATAAATGAAAATAACAACAAAAATTTTTCTGCTGGTCTCTAAAAATTTAGGAATGTATTTAAGGTTACAGAATTGACACATTTAAACATTATGGGAAATGACACGTTCAGAATCAGACAAACCTTCAAACAGAGATTATGTAATTATGTAATCTAAATTAATGCAGTTTGAATTGTCCTAAATGGCAAAAGTAGCTGTAACTCAGAGCTATAAAGTATAACTTTATGTAAATAAAGATGTAAAGTCAGAAAATAATAATATACCACTGAAATAGGCCATTAATCTGTTAATTTCTCTAGATTTTAATACATTAATAAGCCAACTGCTAAACCAAACTCACATTTCAATTTCTTGAAAAAGGAGAGATCATCAAATGCTTCTATTTATGTAGCTTCTTTCTTTGATTGTTACTCATTAAAAATTGTGAGCTAATCTTTAATAATTTGTTCCTCAACCACATAGAACTTTGATTTGTTATTGCTGTGTATGAACACGGGGCTGGATATGTCAATTCATTTCTATCAAATTTTGAAGTATAAGTGCTAAGAAGAAATAAAGAGCGTGTGAGACTACTATATACTTAGGATATATTATGGCCAAAATACAGTAATTAGAAATTACTGTAAGGGTACTTTTTTCCTAAAGTTCTACCAAATGACTTTTTTAGTTTCGAAGACACATACTAAAAAACAAATCTAATTGGCCTCTTGTGAGCACATATAAGACACATTTTTCCATTACAGTATTTTCTGTAAAAGACTCCCATAGAACTGCATGCCAAGTATGGGCTGAACTTGCAAGAATTTATGCTTAAATTAATCGATTCATTTCTGGTCTTGTAACATCAAAGTCCACTCACAACCCAGTTTTCATGCTGGATATGGAAGTATCCAACACAGGAAAAGACTACAAAACCAATAAAATTAAATATTTTTCAAATTCTATTGAAGAACTAATGGTTTTGTGAAGTTTAAAAAAAAAATAAAACAAAGGATTCTCTTGCATTCAAGATAGTAGTAGAAAGGTTAAGATTTTTTTTGCATATGCAAATGATTCTTTTTTGCATATGCATACACATACTATATAGTAAACACTTCCCTTTGAATATACTTCCTTTAATTTCACAGATATGTGTAATGTAACTTCATGCCCCATATATTCCAACCAGCATTTCAGTTAAAATCCTTTTACACAAATTCAGTAGAATTTGTGTAAAAATTTTCTATACAACAGCAGTGAAGGTTTTGTATATCAGTGGAAAGCTGGAAGATTATCTGAGAACAGAAAAACTAGTGAAATTTGATTTCTTTTATATCTGTCCTCAACCTGTCTTTATTGCCCAATCCTCTTCCCTCTTCTTACCCATTAACAACTTCAGTTTCCCTCTATGACACAGTAAGAGACAAAAGTACTGTATAGGCATACAAAATATTTTAATACTTATAATTTTCATCCCAAAATTAATGGCATATGCGAAACTTAGGAGTATCGATCTTGTCAGGTTTTTTTCCTACAATCTTCTGCTGAGTTCAGAAGGTATTTTTTAAATGTAAGAAGTAGTTTTTTCTTGAAAACATACTTTTCACACTTTCCAGTGCCTAGCAGAGACAAAAAAAGATGTGCATACATCTATGTGTCTAATTGCATGATTATTAAAAATATATTTTGAGATATTAATTTGATTTTGGAAAATAAATTCTATTGTTAAATTAATTTGAGTTTCTAGTATGTCTAACTGTAAGGCAAATTAATGAAATGGGCAACTTCTTGCTAAATAAGGAAAAATAAGAAAAAGTCTATTACGTTAAACTTCATTTTCAGATATTGTAAATGACAATTTTAAATTGGAATTACAGGCAGAATATTTTTTGTTTATTCAAGAGGCTTACTATTTGCATTTAATTTTTGCACACGTTTCTCACACATACATACTTTTCTGCGACACACGGGACGTTATTTTCATTCTACTACCTAATGCATGGCAATCACCTGGATTTTGTTCTCTGCACACATCATAGAACAACAGCATATGGCTATTGAAGTGATGAGCCTGTCTCACACCAGAGCCCCGCGCTGGGGGCTGGGGGTTGGCAGGAGGGGAAGGAAGTGAGAGCACTGGCACAATGAGCCATACTGAGCAGGGATCCGGTAAGATGCACAGCCCAGACACCTGGAAAATCAGTCCCTTCCCCATTGAGGGATGCCACATGATCACACCTCAGGGAGAAGCTTAGCACAACACTAGCTTCTGTGTTCATTATTTGATATGTTGAGTTGGGAAATCTTTTTCTCCACTATTTAATTATTTTGATGCTCATAGTATTTGTTCTCTTACCTACCTACAACAGGATTCTAGTCATTCATCTTTCTTGAACCTACACTGCTCTTAAGTCAGTCACAGGAGAAAATATTCTTTTAACATTTCAGGCCTCTGGAGCTAACAGAGGGTTACTGGCTTATGCTACGAAGTGCTTACACCCACTCCCCCTAGCAAGCGTTATTCAGACTTGAAGTCTAAATAACACCTCTATATTTTAGCCGAGTCAGAAACAGATGGAGTACTACTGTTGCCAGCTCATCTATCTGTACTTTGTTCAGTGTGGGGTTTTTCTCATTCTTTAAAGCAAACAGATTTACTTGTAAGTTTACCTTCTCAATACCCAATACTTGCATATACAATAATGTTGACCAAGAGTAGGTTCTGTCCACCCCCACAGTTTAAGGAGCACAATTAATGAAACTACTATTACAAAGTAACAGCTAACATCATCTCCTTTTCCAGCAAGTAAATCAATAGCTCCATTCACAACAGGTTTCACAGATGATCCAACACCAGGAAATCCATGCATACTTACAAATTATAAAGCATATCAGCCATGTTGCTGCGGTAGTACAAGGCATTTCTATAGGCGCTTTCAGCTTCAGAAATCTTGCTCTGGCTCTTGAGAACATTTCCAAGGTTACCCCATGCTGTCAAGAGGAGAAAACAGTATTCAGAAAGAGCTACAATCCAATTACACATGACAGAGTATCTGAGTATCGGGAAGTTCCTTAGGGAGACAAACCCCACAAAGAAACTATTTTTATGAAAGGGGTGGAGAGGTTGGTTGGTTTTTTTTCCTCCCAGTTCTCTAGATCTCTGCATCTTACTGTAAGACTCCCATTTCGTAGTGGTGATTTACATACATTCTCATACACATAGCTTTAGGGTGGGAAAAGGATCTCTAAAAACAAAATATATCTCTATGCTTTAGAAACTACTATAGCAAAGGGAAAGGACCATTTTATTTTATATCACCTCTAAATAAGAATCTCCAGAGTAAAATGTGGAACCAGGGCATCTTTGTAGTTTTAGTGTTTTTTTAAGCCTATCTACTCTAAACAGCAAGAAATTTTCCCAGAGTAGACACAGCTCTCACTGAAGTATGAAAACTGACAAATGATGCAGGAATTGAAATAACAGTTAGATAAGTAACCAGGATTAAAAGTATGCCATATGGATATAAACATACTAAAATGCATTTTTTTTCTACTTGGAAAACATGTGGTTCCTTTCCCCACAATTTATTATGTGCTTTTATATCCCATCTATAAAAAACTTGAGGTAAAAAAATATTTAAGTCTCCACATGTGTTCTGTTTGCAGTTTTGTTGAGTGGCACAAAAACTGTACTTACAAAAGAAACTGGAACTAATGTTTTATAGGAAACACAGCCCCTGTTATTCATAATTTAGGAAGTTAATTTAACTGGCATTGTAATTATAGTCTATGTGTACACTTGAAAAAACACATTATGCTTATAAATACATCAAAGTTGTTTCATAAAATATTTCTACTTTCACAAGTATTTTTCTTTATGAGCAGGAACAATGGGAAGATTATGCATGTCCTTTCAACTAAACACAATATATGGCAAACTCTTCTTCCCCCCAGATGCACTAACTTAAACATTAGGCTCAAGGAGCAGTTAAGCTGCTGCTGCAGTTACTCAAGCCCTTTTTTTACAGGAATTTGTATCAATCCTGTGTAATGAAAACTTTGAATGCAGTTTTAACATAACACTGCTAAAGAGGTTCATAATTATTTCAGATGTGTGATATTTCCTTAGAAAGTGCATGGCTTCCAAGCTGCTGTGGTTTGCTGCAGAAGCATCCTGTCACAGGGATGGAAACAGCAGCAAACACAGAGGGGGTTTTTTGGTGTTTTTTTTTGGTTTTTTTTTTTTTTCCCCTGAGCAGATTAAACTAAACATTTCTGGGGAAAAAAAAATGATGGAATTGTTTTAGGATTCACAAAAATAATGTCACCCAACTGTGCACAACATATTTTGTAAACACAAAGAAAAAAAAATAATTTCCATGAGAAAGGAAGTTATTACTTTTGTGAGTCACTTCATTTTAGCCTAGAATTTAATGAAAGAAATAATTCAAAAGCTATTTATCCCTAGACTGACAAATGTCACAAAAATGTTCCATCATGTTCTTGCATAATGAAATAAAGCTGCTAAAAAGATTCAGATTTACTGTTTTACTCTTAGCTAGCATGTCTGCAGAATTCTGAATGTATTTCCCTATTACTGCTACTGTTCTTTTTTACACGTAGAAAACATTTCTGAAGCTGCAATTAAGGTACAAGACTAATCAGCTTGTAAGGCATTAACAGTTGTAAGAAAGACAGAGCTTTTTTTAAAAAACAACCCAAACCCTCATTTGCGAAAACACACTCTGGTGTTGCTTCTGCAGCATATGATCATCCAGTTTCCCATAGTTGTATGTTCCATATAATCTGTAGCTACTTCTGTTTTCACTCCGATATCCCATTACATCAAACGACCATTTGGACTACGGATAACAACTTCCTGCTATATAGTTACTTGCTCCCTACCACTTTGAAGCTCAGTAAATGAAAGGATCTATAGAAGAATGATTCAGTTCATCTTTTCTTCTGTTAGGCTGGAAAAACCCTAATAACACTGTTAAATATAATAGTTTCTCTACACTTCATCTCATGCTGTACCCTCTATTATTTATCTGAATTAATAAAATTTTAAAGCAATACATTATTTTACATTCTGGAAAATAATGGGTCAAGTTTTAAATATCAGTCAATATTTAATCTGCATTATCCTATTTGAAATGTATTCCATTTAGACTTTTGTCTAAACTTATAAAACTGCAAATCATTAATTCAGTTAAATGTGATACACAAGAAGAAGTAATAGCAGCAGAAAATAGAAAACATAAAACACAATAATCTCACAATTTATCATAAAAAGAAACATGAAAACCAAGATCTTTTAACCTCCCCAAACTATAAGCTTGGTATAAACCTTCACATATGTTTAAATACAGAATTAGTTAGATGAATGACCTAGTTTTGGATGGAGATGACACATGGAACATTTTGTAGAATAAATGCTTATTTGTAGAGATCATACTCATAGCCCTGGACATTACAAAAAGCTATTATCTGCAGAAACCACATCCTTGTGGCTGTTGGTGTATGAGGGAGAGAAAAAGGGGATGGTCAACATGGAAAAAAGGCTACATCAGCTACTCAAGGAACTTCACTCCTGTTTGTCTTAAGTAGTGCAACTAAGGAAAATCAAATAATATTAATTATTAACTACAGCCCTAGCATCCAATTTCTCAATCCATATCTCAGGACAAATGTATCCTGTGAAACTGTAACAACATGGGTTCAACTATGTGCTCATTCAGAAATAAAAACAATTTGAATGAAGCCACATGCCTATTAAAAACATACCCTACGACTACAGCTAAATTTCAGCACTCAACTATTTTCCACCTGTACGTGGCAAGAAATTAAAAATTAATATTCTCAAAAGAAACTGGGGCAGTAATTCTGAAATTTAAAATTTATTTTTATTTCACTTATTTTTGTATATATAATTTTCATCTTAAATCTGTAATACCTGAAATTGCAAAAGGGAACATTTAATTTTCAGAAGACACTAAAGTCGTTTATGTATACACACACACACACACAATTTAATCTTTAATTACAAATTCATTTTTTCCCGTATTGGACACCCTATTCAGTGCAAGAGGAAAAACCAAGCTGTGAATTAAATAGCTTTGTAATATTTATTTTTGGCCTGCTGCTTAATTCCCTGTGCACCAACAATGAGACCAAAACAGTCCCAGGTCTTTTAGAAATAATACTCCATCATAGCATGGGAACAAAGGTAACATTCACATTATCTCACACACCTACAAAACAGTCAACCCATTCAAACTTCACTTCATTGACTACTTTTCCATAGATCATACTCAATATAAATGGACACATTAAAAATTAAATCCATTTCATCGTCTTGTATCCTAAGTCAATTATAAACTGAAAAATGTCCTGATGCTCGAGAATTCCTATGCTAGTTACATTTCCTCACAGGAAAATGGAACATTTTAAAGGGGTTTCGTTGCTGTTGTGTGGGTTTTTTAATAAATAGCAGAAAAAAAATCACATAGCATTAAGTAGGAAAAAGATCAATCTAAGTGTTATCACTTTGGTCATATCAAAATAGATTTCTATTAAACTTTAAAGATGACATGTCACCTTGCAGTTAGAGTAGGTCAAGTTTTCAGGCATTTAATTGCTTTCAAGATGAAAATGAATATGAGAAATTCTGGCTTCAAATTTAACATGATTAATTTCTCAACTATCTCACTGAAACTGAGGATTAAGATTTAAGAAGCCTGAAAAATACCAGGTTTGGCATTTTAAACCTTCTTTAACCACCTTCATTCTGGAAGAGAGCAAGATAAACAACAGTGAGGCAGGAACAATGTTGTCCAATCTAATCTGCATGGATTTAAGAAGTATGTTTTACAAAAAGAACAGTGGAAATTTCAGTTTATGGTTAAATTATGAAAACAAATAAGAAATGGAAATGAATGTGTGCAAATATCTTCATTTAAATAAATCTTTCCCTTTCTACTGAATTGAGGATCATGCCATGCTATCCCGTGAAATGGAAACAACAAAGCAACAAAGTTTCAGAGAAAAGCACTGGGGTGGTATAAAAACATGTATGTTGATCACTTGATCAAATAGTTTGCTTACTAAAAAAAAAAAAAAATCACAAATCATTACCAAAGATAACCCAAAGTATTAAATGAGGAGTCTTCTTCCTGCCCATCACACCTATACAATCCATGAAAAATGAGGTAATAATAAAATCCATTTGGAAACTCACAACCTATTTAACATATCTGTTGTCAAACATCCAACTAAAATCCCCTATTAAATCACTGAAATACAACATAGCACACTTTTAAAAATAATATAGGGGAAAAAAAAGGAAAATGCTGTCTTTCCCAGTATGTTATGCCAGGAGGCAAAACACTGCCTTTTGAAAAACTTACTAGGAGGAAACATACTTGAAAACTGATGAAATAAAATGTAGGACTAAAAGTATAAAAAAATTATATATTAAATTCACTAATTCACATCAACAAATTATTGAAGTTTTGTAGGACTGTTCTCACATTAAACTATCAGACAGTCACAAAAACTTAAATCACAAACTGATGAATGCATCAAAAAATGTGAACTTCATTATTACTTGAGTGAAACAAACTACTTGAAAAACACTAAAGCCTTGAGGGTACAGTCAAGTCATTTGTAATAAACTTGTCAGCAGTTCAAATCTAGCAAGTCTAATTCACAGAAAAACGCACATCAAGCCAAGAACATTTCTATGAAGCTTTACAGATATTTGTGCATTATTTACTGTTCTTTAGCTTGTGAAATTAGTAACAGCAGTTCCAGTTTGCATTCCTTTTCTTTACAATCCTTCTACACTTCTCCTGACTCATCTATGAAAAAGAAGTGGATGTGTAACAATTATCTCTATTTTTTTTATAAACAAACTTTAGGGATGAAGACATGCTATTCTAGAAAAACAACCCTTCAATTCTTTTTTAGGGCAATTACATATGGTTTTT